AAGAGCAATATTAGAAAGCTTCCACATGGAAGAATAATCAGAATCCTTGAGTAGAAATTTTGACAGGTTGCATTGAAATATATGGGAGAACTTTCTAAAAACCAGAGCATTTTTCAATAAGATGATGGAATTCTAAATACCTACAGATTCTGGCCTTGCTGTCCCTTGAGCATACCAGGATGCCTTAGGTCCTTTACCCTGGCTCACCCTCTGCCTGTGATGTTCTTCCCCACACACTTGCATGAGCAACACTCTCAAGTTTTTGTTCAATGTTCAAGCCAGGCAAGAGCCTCTGCTTCATGTTATCACCCTTACTCCAGGCCCTAAGCTAATGAAGCAGGTGCCATCTGCAACATTATTGGTAGCAGAAAGTTGTTGGCAGAGAAGAGAGCTTCAGAAGGTCTTCCACCAGAAACAACATGCTCAGTTTCAAAGTAAGGCTGGAAATTTGAAATTAAAAGAGTGTTCTTAGAGAGAGTTTGGTGTGCCAGTGAATGCCTCCCTCCCAATGGGGATATTAAAGGGTTGCTTCCCCCTTACCACAAGCTTATAGAACAAATTCAAACATGGTTCGCTGCACATGTCCCAAGACAAGAAGTTTGCACGACACAGAGGACAAATGGCGGAGTCATACCTCAGGCATCTAGAGGGTGAGATCTCTGGCTGGATGCCCGAGTGGTCGAATGGTCGCAACAAGAGGGCTTAGACGGGAGAGGGAGCACTCCCGGAGGTGGCAGCGTGGATGTGTGTTTCTCCTGTAGCAAGCCTGGACTAGAGAGGGGAGAAGGGCTTTTCTTTTTCATTTTAAAACAAAAGTCTTTTCATCTTAAAGGAATTTCAGACTTATGAAAAAGTTGCAAAACTTGCATAAGGGGCACACAAAAAGACACAAATCCCTGAGGAGGAACAAGCAAGTAAGCCCTACCATTTCCCAGCTTACTGCCTTGAGTGGCCAGGCCATAGAACAGAGAAAGGGAACCCCGGGGAACCCGGTCATCATCCTGAGTTGAGTAGATGGCCACGAAGGCCGCAGCTGGGATATTAGAGAGGAGGAAGCTTCAAAGTTCCAGAGATGTGTAGATCTAGAATCTTCAGCAGAATACTGACCAACACGTGTGTGTGAAGAGACTGCCTAAACTGGGGAAAGAACCGCCCGAATGGAACAGAGGGAATAATCCCTAGCAGGTCCACTGGGCCTAGATGAGTCCTGGTTCCACTGGCCAGAATGGAAATTCACAAGCCATCAGGTAGATGACTCAGAAAGGTAAGGCCTCTGTGGTGAGATTAATTAACTCTTGCCTAAAAGCTGCTCTGATCCTGCATAAAACAAAGCAGAAGAGCCAGCTTCAAAAGGATCAGACTGTTTCAAAGTCACTTAACTGTGCCCCAGTGTAAAGTTCAAGAATATTTATAGGATTACAAAAATAGGTAGCACCTACTAAGGTAAAATTCACGTGTGACATCTAATAAAAATTTATCAGGCATGCAAAGCAGCAGAATATTCGACAAGCATGGAACTCTCCCGGATGTCACCAAGAGGTGGTTGAATTAAGGGTGACATGACTATCTTCAGAGTTTGCATGCACTGTCTAGTGACTTGCCATATGTATAATTAATACTCTTATTCCATCTTCAGCTCAGAACAGCATATTCCATGTCTTATAGAGAAATAATTTACTATTTATACTACTTTTAATACATCTTATCAAGTCCACATTTTCTCAACAGCTACTTATTTATATACTTAAATGCCCATGCAAAGTTTTGCCTACATTTCTTACGCTAGTATTTTATGTACAATTTATGCTTAATACTTCTTGTGAGTTTCGTCCATCTTATTTTTCTTGTCCAACTACAGTCATCGATGTCCGCTGAGTATTTGTAGCATCTGTACAGTTATATCTTTCTACAGCCATATGCACAGCTGTCTGTCTCAGTATCTGCATCTGACATGATAGCAGGGAGTTTACCTGCCTCATTCACTGTCATATTCTTGTGCCAAGGCCATTGCCTCACACATAACAGGTGCTCCAAAGTCTTTGAGTTACTAAAGTTTTCCCACTAAATGCAAATAATATTGTGCAACAGGGCTATTTCTTTGCTCTTGGCCCCTGGATATAATGATAACAGTAATGAAACTGCCACGCACATGGTGAATAAATTGGTTTTTTACAATGTTAAAAGGGCCAAAGAACTATTTTGACCCCAATTGGTATGGTCAGCCTAAAATAAAATAAAGGAAATGAGAAAAAAGTCTAGATTTAATCTTACTCTACAGCTCCAGTGCCTCTACTCTTCCTCAACCCTGTGCCAGCCCAGATGAACTCTCTGTGTTGGGCAAGTGGTTTCCAGGACAGGCGCTTAGTAGGAAGGCATGGGGAGGAGTGGCCTGGGGGAGTGCCTGGGGCCTGCCTCGGGCATGAAGTCGAGGGGGACGGAGCGCACCCACTGGGAGGGGCCATTGGCTGGGTAAATGCAAGGTTCTGTACCAAGAAGGGCTGGTTTAGAGGAAGGTATTATTCAAGCCAAACTCACCATTCCTGTGTCACTCAGCAGGGCCCCTGTGTGACCTCGAAGGAATGGGAATATCGAAGTGGGGGTAACTAAAAGACACTGGCAAGCGACGGTGAAGAGCATCCCTGCCCTTCTGAAGGCTGTGCTAGGCATTGAAATAATCCCAGATGAACCAGAACACGAGGAAAATTGCAATTATTATGTATTACAAGGTTACCAAGAAAACGTGTGCTTTCATAGGATCGCATTTAAAAAAAAAAAAATCTTGGGTCAGAAGTGGACATTTTCCCTAGCTTGCTTCTTCCCAGCTGTGGCGTGTGTGTTCTTACCAATTTCCTCAGAGCCCATTTTTCATTCATGGGCCTAAAGAGGGTGCACCTTGATGTCGCTTGTGAAGTGCCTGGTTCCTGCCACAGCAGGAATTAGGACAGGAGGTCCTAATTCAAAGATTATACTGGAAGTTTCTGCTTTCTTTGGGAGGTGAGGGGGAGAGAGAGACTTATTTAGTTATTCAACTGAATGAATACTGAGTTATTGGAATGTGAAGAGAAGCCAGAGTATTTTATAAAAGATTGCTGTTTCAGTCTGACCCTTTGGTTTCTTTCTAGCCCACATAGACGTGATACCATCCGTATTTATCTGCATACATCTGAGGCATCCGGAAGGGGAGGAGAATGATGGGCTGTGGTGGAGGACTATGGGTACTTTAGCGGTGGGAATGTTATGGTGACTGCACCGAGAGGGGGCATCCTATACAGTCAAAACACAAAGATAGAAAACAATGGCACTTCAATTAAAAAAACTTTTAATTGTTTTTACAAGGTAAGTCCTATCCTGGCAAAATAACTCATATTGCAGAGGATACCATGAAGAAAGTGAAAAGACAGTCCACAGAATAAGAGGACATTTTTACAAATCACGTATCTGATAAGGACTTGTATCCACAATATATGAATGAAGAACTTTTACAACTCAATAATAAAAAGACAAACACCCAATTTAGAAACAGGCAAAGAATCCAAATGGACATTTCTCCAAAGAAGTTATACAAATAGTGAGTAACACTGAATGTGATAAGATGTTCAGCATTATTCATTAGGAAAATTCAAGTCGAAGTCACCATGCCGTACCATTTCACACCAACCGGGATGGCTATAATCAAAAAGACAGTAACTAATGTTGGTGAGAATGTGAAGAACCTGGAATCCTTGTGCACTGCAAGGGGGAGCTAAAATGGTGGAGCCAGTTTGGAAAACAGTGGCAGTTTCTGCAAAGGTTACATGTAAAGTTGTCATGTAACCCAGAGATCCCATTCCTAGGTATGTACCCAACCTCTGGCAACATATGATTCCATTTCTATGAAATGGCTACAACAGGGAAATCTATGGACAGAAAGTAGATTGGGGGTTGCCTCGGGCTGAGGGACACTGGGAGGGGGTTAGAGAGTGACTGCTAATGGGTATTGGGTTTTTGGGGGGAGGGGGGATGTGGAGTGATGAAACCTTCTAAAATGGAGTGTGCCGATGGCTGCTCAGCTCTGTTCCTAAACTGAAAATCATTTAAATGGGTGAATTGGAAGGTTTGTGAATTATGTCTCAATGAAACGATTTTTAAAATGACCTATGACACTGTCCAGTGCCTCCTGTCTTTTAAAGGCAAATACTGCCCTCGGTGATATTTGGGCCAAAAATCGGGAGGTAGGCAAGATCCCTTTGGGTTCTCGGCATTTCCTAGGTCAGCCAGGCAGCCTCCTTGGAGTCTATTTTCCAGGCAAACAACGTTTGTCGCTGGTGCTTTGTCACAGTCACAGTGAAAGTCGGAAGGAGCCGGCCTCCAGGACAACTCAGCAGGGCCAGGCTCTTGGCTACTGGGGACAAGTAGTACGAAATGAGGTGTTGTAAATAACCATCTGTTCATCTCAATTCGGGGTAAAACTACTTCTGTTTCTGGTTTGGAATTGAATATCTATATCCAGCCAGCGCTTTGAAAGAGTTTTTCCTCTGCTTGAAAAACCTTACATTGTTTGCAGATGAAAGCGGGGCTCGTGCCGTCGCCGGGGCGGGAGGGGTGGTGACAAGAAAACGCCGCCGCGCTCCGAGCCGCGCGTCTCCGGGCGCTGCCGGGGGGGGGGGGGGGGGGGGGGGGGGGGGGAGGCGGCAGGGGGCGCCCTGCCCGCTCCTGCCCCGCCGACTTGCCCCGACTCCCTCCGCTACGCGGCCCCCTTCCGCCCGCCCTGACGTCCCCAGCCCCCGCCTCTTTCTCCGTGGCCTTCAAAGGGCGCTCGGGGGCAGCGGGCTGGCGTTTCCGGACTCTGCGGAGGGGCCGCGCCGTCACCTGCCCGCCGCGGGGCACGGCCCACGCGGGCGCCCGCAGCTCGGCGCGCCCGGCCCGCGTCCCGGAGCAGGTGCCGGGGCTACTTGTGGTCTCCCGCCGCCGCCCGCCGCCCGCCGCGAGGTGGGAGCCTGGCAGGGCGCGCAGACGGCCCCATGGATAGCGGCGGCGGGACTGCCCCGGCCGGGGCGCTCGGGGCCGCGGGCGAGTCCGCCCTGTGCGCGCTGCCAGCCGGCAGCGAGGGCACCGCGGGGCCGTCGGAGCCCAGCGGCTTGGCAGAGGGCGCAGGCGGCGGGGGCGGGCCGCGAAGGGCTCTGCGGGCAATATATGTGCGCAACGAGAGCACGCAGGGCGGCGCGGCCGGCGGCCACGAGACGGGCGCACAGCAGTGCTTGCTGCGGGCCTGTGAGGCTGAGGGCGCCCACCTCACCTCCGTGCCCTTCGGGGAGCTCGACTTCGGGGAGACTGCCGTGCTCGACGCCTTCTACGACGCAGGTGAGGAGGGGGCCCCTTTTGCCATCACCCCATTCCCGCCGGCTTCCCCTCCCCTCCCCAACACCCTGGAACCGGTCCCTCCCTCGCCTCAGCCCCTGAATCTTGCCGCCGGACCGCACTATCTTGGGGGGGAAACAGAGTAGGTAGCAGTGCCCCATTTTACAGATTAGGAAAAAGAGGCCACTGGGATTCAGACCTTTTTACTCTCCAGTGTCCTTAATCAGAAGACCCAAGAAACCCCTTCTGTTCCAGAACATACTGAGCCCTGTTCCCCACCAGTTACCCAGCGTGGGCGTTGCGTTCCTGGCGTGTTGCTTACGGCGTTGGGGCCGAGCCCTGGCCGCACATTAGAATCACCTGGGGAGTCATTTTTCAACTTTGAAGCTGTTAGAGCGCCTCCTGCCCAGACTGTATCCAGGCCAGGGGCTGCAGAATAAGGCGTGACGAGGGTGTAAGGCTTCCCAGGTGATTCAATTCTGCAGCCGACAGCGGGAATCGGTGTGCTAAAATTGTGTGCATGGTGCCTCTTGTAGAAACGCCCCAGCCTTCTCGTGCAGGTTGACAGCGGCACTGTGCTCTAGCACCAGGGTGACATGTATTCTAGCCCATAATGCAGAAGCCTGGGGGGGTCTGGGTCCCCTCCTTCGCTGAACAGGGGACTAGATCTGTAAGCTCACCACTTAAGTGCACCCTAATAGCCACCCTTAGAATCGGTGCTTTTGATTGGCAACTTTCTTCAGGTGTGGAACCAGTTGTTGCTTGGCTGTTTTTCTTACTGAATCTTTGGTATCTGTGACAAGCCTCTGGTACTTGGGTGACATTCATAAGCATTGTGTGTGACACAGTAATTACCTGAGAGTCCTTGTGCCTTGGTTTCTCACTGGGATTAAGAGTGCTTACCCTAGGGCCTCCCTGGTGGCGCAAGGGGTTAAGCACAGCAGTGTGAAGCAATCCTCAGCCTCTGCAGCACGAGTTCCATCCCCAGGTGGTGGTGGGGGGGCGAGCAACCCACTTGGCCCAGCAGACCTCTCCTGCCTCGCCCAGCAGTGTATTTCAGTCAGTCTGCCTGTTCTGTTCCCCACTGTCTCTGGTGAATCCTCTCACCCCCCCCCCCGCATCTCTGGCCTGTACCCCAGCTCTTGTATGCATAAATAAATAAATCTTTCGAGGGAGGCAGCAGGGATCTGTTTTCTGCAGAGCAAATCCTCCCAGCTGGAGGGGGCGGGTATCCGGCTTGTTCAAACAACTGGCACCTGGACCGGTGGAAAACACTCTCTCGACATTTCTGATGGCTGAGTACTCTTCAGCACAGCATCTTTTTTGAAAAGTTGTTTAGGAGCCCACTTCTCTGGGAACGACCCAGTTTTCTCAGCTTTTCATTTGGCTCCAAAATTGGAGTTTGAACTCTCTGAACAGTTAATTGTCCCTTTTGCCTTAAGGAACAACTAACTGGAGCCTCTTGCCTGCTGGTGCCAATTCTGGAAAAATCTGTGCACAGTGACTTTGCTTCTCTGGCTGGGGGTGCAGGGGGTTGTGTATGTTTGAGGGGAACCAGGCTTCGTCTCCCAGCAGGACCCCTTCCTTCTGGTGGAACATGGAGGTTCAGTTAGTCGGAAATCTCAGACTCGCTTCCAGAGCTACACGACAGACATGCCACCTTTTCTTCCTCCGGGTCCAGGTTGCCTGGAAGTTTGAGCTGTCCCTATGTGCCTCCTTGGGTTAAGCTTGGCGGGGTCTTGACTAAATCATTGCTTAGCACGTTATTACAACTAACGAATTCTTGTCATAGGTTTCACACAGAATGCACACGACTCCAGTAAGTGGGTTGATGAATTAATCACATGACACCTCCCATGCCTCTCCTGGCTTCCTTATCTGTACCGTCACGGCTTTTTGGCCAGATATGTAATCTGTCACTTTGGGGTTCTTCTAAAAAGTCCTAAAGCCACACTATTCCATATGGCAGCCATTAGCCATAGGTGGCTATTTACCTTTGGTTAAAATGCAATAAAATGGTCAGTTCCTTATTTGCATTAGCTGCATTTCAAGTGCTGACTAGGCACAGTGACAGCATTGAGCATTTTCCTCATTGCACAGGGTTCCATTGGACAGGACTGTTCTAGAAAATTGTGCAGAGGAGAACTATTAAGCTGTTCTGAGTGTGTTTTGGCAGATCAGAGATGTGCGCTTTGAACTTTAAGCATGTCCTAGCCTTCCTCAAAGCAAGGCAAGGCTGTGTTTGTGTGTTTCCAAGTTTGTCCAGTTTTACATGGCCCTGTGCAGAGCTAGACTGAAGGTGTCCATCACAGTGCGTCTGGGGTTTGCTGCTGCGGGGGAGCCCCAGGCAAGTCTTCAGCCTGAACAAGAGCAGGTGGACTTGCCATGGGCCATGAGGGGTGAGTGGGGAGTGTCTTACAGGTTTAAAGAATTGTGGTAAAAGAGACAGAACACAATTGTCTGTTTCAGCCATTTTATTTTTTTTGTTTGTTTTTAGGAAATATTCATTAATGCATTTTTTTTTGCATTTTTTTAATTTAAATTTTTATATTCCCCATACAATTACAACCCCCTTATTTTGACCCCAAACCCTCCTCTCCCCGCCCCCCCATGCCCCATAGAGTGTCTCTGGTTCATAGTTGTTTGTTGATTTTGATATTTTCTTTCTAATAGTTATTCTTTTTTATCTGGCTTATTTCACTTAGCAGCGTGTCTTCAAGGTTGCACTTTGTATCTCGTGCCAGGCTGAGTGGTGCTCACTGCGCATGTACCGCGTTACGTGCATGCATGCATCTGCTGATGGATTTTGGTGGTTTTGACCTTTGGGCTGTCAGGAATAGTGCCATAATGACCATGTGTCTACACATATCTGCTTGGGTCTCTGCTTTCACTTCTGTGTATATACTGAGAAGTAGGATTGCTGGATCAGGTGATAATTCTCTTTAATTTTTTGAGTAACATCCCTTCTGCCATTCGCGGGGGTGGTGGTCATCTCTGTATGCCTTCGGCCCAAATTTGATAGTTGTGATTCAATACTCATCCTTGGAGATGATGACGGCTGCTAAAAAACATGTTCATCTTCTCCTCTCCCCCTTCTCCCCCTCCATATGCTTTGACGCCTTTTGTTTAAGTGCCTGTCTTTCTGCTTCACCGGCAATCAGGCCTCTGCAGCTAGCCTCCGTGTGTGCAGCGTGTTTACACAGAGCAGCTGCCTCTGCCTTTTTAACTGCCTGCTGTCTCTCCTTCCTGGAGTTTCGCAGTGCTTGTGAACACAGCCAAGACCGAGGGATCCTGCGGGAAACCCGCGCCGTGGTCACATGCTTTCCCCAATGTCTGACCATGGAAAGGCCATCCTCACAGGATGCTCTGATTGAGTATGCTGATAGTGTATCTAATTTATAACTAAGGTCTGGTCTCCTAGAATACGTTTATCTCCTAGGAGCACCTCCTAATATCGATGTAAGTTTTACTCACTGGTTTGGTGTTTAGTTAATGGCCGATCTAAGCAAGGGCCTTCACCTTTCTGCTGATGCCAAGCCTTCTTGAGTTCGCTACTAACTGTTCAGATGACAAGATCAGCCCCTTTGCGCAAGCGCTGTCCCAGACTTCCTGGGGCACAAGTTCTCTGCACACCTGTTGAGTCTGGCTGTGCCTCACTTCCCACCTCTCTGAAGCTCATTTAAGTGCTTCTTTCCTGACCCATGGGCTCTGCTTCTCACTTTTTCCTTCAGTTACGTTTGCAGTGATTTTAAAAGTTGAGAGCTGTTGCCTCCTGCAACAGGGAGTCTTTGTATTGTTTCCTGAACCCTGATAAAAACACAAAGGCAGGGTTTCAGTGTCCAGATTATTTACTTGGCTTCGCTATATCCTGCTGATACCTCTTTTTTCTGCCTGGCTTGCACAAGTCATTTGGAGACTGCAGAGTGTGACAAAGCTAGCCATGTGCCCAGCAAAGATGGATGCTCCTAGTAGTATTTGGGGAGCAGGGACTATATTTCCTAGCACCCTTTGAGTCTAGGTGGAACCTGTTACTGGTCTAACCCATGAAATGTAAGCAGGACTGATGTCTGTCACTTCTGGGCCCAGGAGCTGGTATGTCTGGTAGGTCTCCCCATACTCTGTCAGCCCTGTCTGTGTTCTCCCTGGGGAGTAAGTGTGGAGGCTTCATGTGGAAAATGTCAGTGGCACAAGATGGAAGATGCCTGGCTCCTGAAGTTTCTCCCTGGAGGAGAGCACTGGGAGCAGGAGGATCCTCTTTGCATCGTGCATAAGCCAGTGAGAAGCTGTATTTGCTCAGGCTGCTGCCATTTGGGGGTTATTTTAGTGGTAAGAGACTGCAGCTTGGCTTGTGAAAATCTAGCCCTTATGCTACAAAAATTGCCTCTTGGGGAATGTTTTTGCAAGAGAAAGTCAGGGCCGTGTATCATTTCATATGATGGAGCATCAGTTTATAATCTATGCCCGTCATGGGCCGCACCCTATGCTGCCATGGGCTAAGAAATTAAATGAGATGCTCATATCAACAGGTGAATACCAACAACGGAGGCGGACATTCTAGCTCTTCCCCAGTTTCACTGCTTTTGGAGACTAGGTAATTTTTTCCTTTTATCTTAAATAATTCCATTAATGTTTATCCAACAGTAATATTGGACTTTCTGCAAAACTAGGATAAGTAATGGTTTAAAATAAGGCTAGCTCCAGTTCCATTTGCTGCCCTCGTGTGGGTTAGGTCTAATTTCTCCATCTTTGATGTTGTTAGAGGATTCTTCATTCGCTTGATGCATTGTGTGCAGAGAACTCCTACCCAGATATTCTTCCCCTAGGAGATGCACAGTTAGCATGGATGCTTGTCCCAGAGCTGGCCAACAGTATGAGCAGCACCAGCAAGTGTTGCTTTGGACTGAGAAAGTTCGATGGTGCCTCCATCTCTCTGCCTCTGTCACGGCACACTCCATGGTCACGTGTTCAGGATGGTAGTTAGCCATTGAAGTTTGGGGCATTTG